ATGTGTGTGCACACGCTCGAGGACCATAGCAGTCCAGTTACCTCGGTGGTCTTCTCACACGACTCGATCCGGCTAGCGTCAGCGTCTGACGACAGGACTGTCAAGATCTGGGACGCGAGCAGCAGGACGTGTATGCACACGATCAAGGGCCATAGCGATTATGTTAGCTCAGTGGTCTTCTCACACGACTCGACCCAGCTAGCGTCAGCGTCTTGGGACAGGACTGTCAAGATCTGGGACGCGAGCAGCGGGGTGTGTATGCACACGCTCGAGGGCCATAGCGATTATGTTACCTCGGTGGCCTTCTCACACGACTCGATCTGGCTAGCTTCAGCATCAGACGACAGGACTGTCAAGATCTGGGACGCGAGCAGCGGGACGTGTATGCACACGCTCGAGGGCCATAGCGGTCCAGTTACATTGGTGGCCTTCTCACACGACTCGACCCGGCTAGCGTCAGCGTCAGGCGACAGCACTATCAAGATCTGGGACGCGAGCAGCGGGACGTGTGTTCACACCCTTGATATTCGCAGGACTCTTCTCAACATATCTTTCGACTCTACTGGCACCCGTCTTTACACAGAAGCAGGCACTATTGCTATTTCTTCTTTCCAGATTTCTAGCAGTATAGATATTGCAGCATCGAAACCACAGTACCGAAATGTCAGTTTGAGTTCAGATAGTATCTGGGTGATGCACGCTGGAAGTAACATACTATGGATACCGTCCGAGTATCGACCGTCAAGCTTGGCTGTGAGTGAGACCCAAGTAGGCATAGGAATAGGATCAGGAAGGGTCTGGTTTTGTCAGGTGACTTAGGCAGGGAACGATAGATGAATGGTGTCTTTGTAAATTTCTATATCTTTATATATAACTATTAAGAATGTCCAGGCTATACAACACTTGCTATACACATTACAAGAATCGCGAGAAATTGATACTCAATCGACTTCCAAGTATAGTTAGCAAGCGACCGCGCGTCTAAGCAATGGCTGGTTAAGCTTTGCGCCACAGTCTGAGCCGTTTTGGTATAGCGCAAGTGTACATTACAGGCCGCTAATTCTTCTAAACCTGCCATGTCAGCACGCGAAGTCCTCTCGCGAAAAGCGAACGAAAGTTGCATTAGGCCAGATGAACTCGTAGTGCACCTAAAAAGAGGCTGCACGTATAGAGTATTAATATGCTCTTTAGCTTACTCTTAATTGTATATAGACTCCGAAAAAGCAAAGTACGCTTCTATAGGAGGTAGAGTAGGGGTGTATTGTTATTGTAGCTTCAACGCTCAACACGAAAGATTCATGTACGTACCTTAGATAGCTATAATTTTGCGATTTAAGGCTTACAATAGGTAGAAATAGATCTAGAGAGTATATATATGCGTGCTTAAATACAACAGTCTCTGCGGCTTGGGCGTAAAGTGCTGGAATAATTCTGGTGGTTCGTTGCAGAGGGATGTTCGACCCACAGGGACGGACGTTAGTTTAGGGGTCGAACACACACCGAAACCATTCTCGATTCACTTTAGAGTCGTTATAACTATTTTCCAAATATCCGTAGTACTAACTAGGTGTCTTATACGTTGTCTAGTTGTCCTGGTAAGTTAATGCGGGCCAAATTATTAGTAGGAGCAGCGACCTGCCGTTAGCACTTATACACTTGATAGCGGTCACTATTATTCGTTTAATACCTATGTCTCTGTAGTTCCTTGAGTCGTCCTTACCTACCAGGACCTTAATAGAGCCTAGCATACTTAGCATCACGCTAGTTTCATCTATATTATAGGCATTTTCTAGCAGAACAGCCGGGTCGTCTGATACGTTCCTAATTACGCTGAACTATTCCAACACCTTATTATATATGTTCTTGTCGTGATGTTTCCAGTCTATGGGCCTTACTCTCCTTACTTTAAGTTCGGGATGCCATCTCTCAAAGGATGGCTTCGAGCTGGGCCCTGAGCGTCCTACGTATGGTTTGGGAGTACATTCTCACACTACGGATCTAACTGCTAACGCTTACACTTCCATAGAATTTGTGGCAACATGGCGGCGCAAAGACAATGTGGACCATGATGCTCTGAAACAAATGGTCAACACTATAGCCAAGAGCATCGGACTTCGGTGGTCGCACGTAGGCTCTTGATAGAGGGGTGTCTAAGGAATGATAACATGTTAATAGTAACCCAAGAGAACAGGCAGGAAAGAGACTATGATACTTTAATGATAGGTTCATTTCGGCACAGGGCGTTTTTCGCCACACGTGGAGAGACATTAGTCAAGGGCAAATGAAACTGCTACTGCAAATGTGTGCATGTTTTCTCTCTTGCGGATAGAACAGCGTACACAACGCAAATCACGAGGACAACGTCCAATCTTCTCAACAAATACACAAAAATTTGATATTTCCCATCGTAACATTCACACAAGTAACAAAGAAAAAGATGGAGAGAGAACAAACAGTCTCTCATTTACATTCGTGATATAACCTTCACATCCTTCCTACATAACTATCTACACACACACACACACACACACACACACCCTTACCACTCCGCCACCTCCCCCACCCTCGGCGCCGCCGCGCGGACAACCTTATCGCAATTCAACAGACACAGCGGATCAAACGCTTTCTTAAGCTGCCTCATCGCATCCACCGTCTCGCGCCCCAACTCATGCGGCAAGTAATCGCGCTTGACAATCCCAACACCATGCTCACCCGTCGCCGTGCCCTCAAGCTCGATGGCGCGCTTCACCATTTCGTGCACGAGATGCGATGCCTTGTCGAAGTCGCGGGTGCGGTCGTATAGGATAATCGCTACGCATAAAAATAATTAGAAAAGAAGAACAAGAAAGAAAGGGTGAGTGGGAAGGGGAAAAGAAAAAACTTACAGTGGAAATTTCCATCACCGACATGACCAACGATGCTAGCCAGCAACCCGCTTTCCGAGATTTTCTGCTTCGTTTCTTCGATGATTTGCGGGAGTTTGGAAATGGGGACTGCGACGTCGGTGGTCCAGACGGCGATGTTGGGGTCACCTTTGCCCTTCGCCATGACGCTCCATAGGGCTTCTTTTCGCGCCTGCCAGAGATCCTCCTTTTCCTGTTCAGATTTTGCAAACTCGAAACTTACGGAGCCGGATTTCTTGGCTAGGGCTTGGACTTGGGAGATTTGTTCTTTGACGGCGCTTTGGGTACCGGCGAACTTGAAGAAAAGTGTGGGTGCGTTTTTCCATGTCTTTGCAGTTTGGCCGGCGTCGTTGATGCATTGCATTTGAACATCGTCTAGGATCTCAATGGCTGCGATGGGGACGGATGCGCCGACGACTTTGAAGACACATTCTGCTGCGGCGCGGATGGACGGGAAGGCACATACGGCTACACTGGTGTGCTGGGGCTTGGGAATGATTTTCAGAGTAGCTTCCGTAACTAGACCCAGGGTACCCTCGCTTCCAACAAACATGCGTGTAAGATCATAGCCTGCCGAAGATTTTCGTGGCCGTTGCCGGGTCTTGATGATTGTTCCATCAGCCAACACAACAGTGAGCGACACAACCCAATCCTTCATTGTGCCATATCGGTACGCGTTGGTGCCTGAGCAACCTGTACCGACCATACCACCAATCATTGCTCCTGGACCTGGGTCGGGTGGAAAGAACAAGCCGTCCTTGGCGAGCTCCTCGTTGAGGTGTTCCCATCCGACAGCGGGCTGAACAACCACATCCAGATCTTCCTTGTGTAAGTTTATGATTCTATCCATGCGACTGAAATCGATGCAAATTCCTCCTTTTGTTGCGGCAAAATGACCCTCTAGACTTGTTCCGCCGCTGTATGGTGTGACGGGAATTTTTCGCTCGTGGCAGACCTTCATAATGGCACTGACTTCCTGAGTATTTCCTGGCTTCACAACGCAGAATGGTACGTCGCCTGGCGACGAGGGATGTGAAGACCACGATGAACCACTGTGCGATTCGAGATCATGCCTGTCCAGTGTGATGTTTTCCTTTCCTACAATGTTGCGGAAGTCGGTCCAGGCCGCCTCCATGTTCGCCTCTGAAATATTGTGCTTGGGAGGAACAAAGGTATCGAGTGGTGCGGTAGAGCTTGTGTCTGGCTTGGGTGGTATCAATTGGCCATAGTAGTAGCCTATGCTCGCGGTAAAGAGACATGCTATTTTTTTCAAGTCAGTTTAGTCTAGTGTTCAAAAAAAAGCAGTGGCTCGATACCGAAGACGGTCGCAAAGAATTGACCTCGTGCTGTTCTTTGCTGTAGCGACTGAATCCTAATCTGCTCGGCCTTTTCCTTTTGCACACGCTCGTAGATACTCTCGTTTAGTTGGAGGTAGAAAGGCCTCTCTTCATCCTTTCCCAATTTCTTGTCATCGCTCGCCCATCGTCTTTGCGCCATTGCGCCCACACGCGCGCTTGCTCCGCATTGCCTCCATATCGCGTTCGGACGCGCAATTCTCAGCGCGATTGAGCCGCGCGGCAGACTTCGTAAAGGCATTGCAGTTACGAAGAAAGTAGTTTCATGTCGGGGCTGTCGGGGAAACGGGTGCGGGGAACGCGATGGCGAGTCTCAAGCGTCGGATGATGACAGCGGTGCCAAGACAAGCTTAAGTCCGCCTCCGATGCTGCAGATCCCTGTTCATGCAGGCAGCCTGTCACTATAACCGATGATCTCATCCATGTCGACGTGGAGAAGCTGATGCATGTTTTGTTTTGCATAGTAGTTTGTTTTGATTGGAGTACGCAAACGTCACGGTGCAGCGTCCAGTTTGAAGTATACGTACTTGTCATTGTTACTTGCAGAAGAGACGGACATAGAGAGAGAGTAAACAGAATGCAATTGCGAGCTCAATGACCGAAGCCAGAGCGAGTTATCCAAACTAGAAAAAAAATAAACAACCAAACTCCAAACTTAATCTAACCTGCCGTGCCGCCAGGCATGCAGTGATTCAACGAGTGCTTGTCAAAGCTTCCAACGCCAGTGTAGGATAAAGATATGCAAAATGAAGTGGTTCCTTTGGAGCCAGACCTTGCCAATGCGCCTGCCAAAAGAATGAGTCCCTAAGAATGCCCGCGAGATATGCAGCATGGGTGTTGGTGGGGGCGTATGTCGTCAAAAGCCGTAATCGTTACGCCGTGCTAAAGAAGGAAAAATGTAAAAAATATGTATAACTGAAGATGGGGTATAAAAAAGCAAAGTGCACACCCGTGTAATTTCCAGGGTGCCATCGTTGGCCGTGTGCACTGAGGTGATAGAGTGTCGGTGAGTAGACGCTGCCAGGTGTAGGCCCACACAATAAGGCAACGCTAGCTGCATATATGCGTGGCACTGCATGCAAGTAGACGATCTGGAACAAACACCTATTTGCCCGATAGGCGAAGCAGCCTCGTCTTGAGCCAGGTAACAAATCTGAGCCATCTTCCCTTGATAGCACGGCTCTTGCTGACCTTTGGTACTGCGCTCATGGCTGCCTTTTCCGGGTCGACGGTAGTTACGAGCTTGGGCAACGAGTGGGAGTGGGCCTGTCGGTGATCAGAGTATTGACGCCCGCCTATCGAGGGTCGGCCGCCAACAGAAGGTCTAGGTGTTTTTTCGCTGTCGTCGGATGTGGTGCGTGTGCGGTTCATTTCATTGCGGTCCAGAGTCTCGGACTTGCGTCGCTGCAAGTCTTCTTTCTTGAGCTGCTTCCGGTAGTCACGCTCCTGCTGCTTGTGTGCATCCTTTTCGTATTTTAGCTCCTTGGCTCGTTGCTCTTGCTCAAACTTTTGTCGCGCAGCGCGGATGGATGCAGCTCTTGACGCGGGATCCACAGGCGAGTCGCGACCGCCACGTATGAAGCGGTAAGCTTGGTCAAACGAGGTGCGGGAGCTGGGTGATGTGGTGGTGTCGATGGATTTGAGCGTGTCACCCCGTGCCCTTGGCGGGCCGGTAGGGGAAGTGAGCGAGGCCGTGGACTGGGAGTAGGTGGCAGCAAGGCGAGTGGAAGAGTTGTTGGTGTGGAGGCGGAGGGATGTTCCTTGTGCCGAGGACATGGACCCAGATCGACGTGTGGGATCATACGAATTCTGTTTCAAACGAACTTCGTCGTCAGACATGATATCATCGCCCTCAAGCTCGCTTCCCAGGATGGATGAGGGTGATGAGCCTGCTATTGGCGGTGAGAAGAGTTGGGGTGTTTGGCGAATGGAAGGTAAAGGAGTTGGTCGGGGGCCTGAGGAGGCTGAGTACTGTGATTGATTGGAGGTGGAACGGCTGTGTCGGTTGCGAGGGTTTATGGGCGTGAAGTTGACTTCTGATATGGAATGCGAGTAGGCGCCGTACTCTAGGATGCCCAGCCCCGTCAAGTCGTTTTCAGCAGCAGGTCGCGAAAGATCCAGACCGCTGGTTTCCTTGGAAGAGAGCTTGCGCAGGTAGGGCTTGATCTTGAGCGGGTGGGCAGAGGCAGCGGCAGGCATGGGGCGTTGAGGTTCGATCCAGGACTCTTTGTAGACGTTTGGCGTGTTTGAGCGGTCAAAGGTGAAGGCACCATAGTCGGCGACGGGACTAAGGGAGCTGGGTGCGGCCGAGGCCGAATGGCCGCGTTTGTGCAGACGCGCATGCCTGGCGGACATGGTTGGCGAGAGACAGTGAGAGAGAGGCGGTCGCGGGTGTTATCGAAGCATGTCAGTGTAGGCGGGTTATAGGGTGTTTGGGGGTTATGGGCAACAGCAGGCAGGGAGCAGTTAAAGGGTGTGGCATCACCAAGCCAACTTGGAAGACGAAAGGGTTCCGAATGGTTCCGCGGCAGGCAGGAAGGAAGGAAGGAAGGGAAGAGGGTTATGGATGAGTGACGAAACGACTGTGTCGGGCCCAGGATGGGAGAGCGGGACGGTGGGAATGAATCCGGGGCAATTCCAAGGTAGTCGCAGTAGCAGACGCGGGTCGATGGCGCATTCACCCAGGCAAGCTGGATGGTTTGCCAGGCCGTTAGACGTCTCCTGGCTGGCGGGCCCGCTGGGATGCTGGACTGCCTCGAGCGCTGCCTCGGCCCCGAGCGCCTTGTACTAGTAATGCTATGGATGGATGTGAAAGCAGAGATGCCCACTCAGTCCGGGACGCGGCTAGGCCACAAGCAACGGGGATCGATGATGGTGCCGCCAGTGATGAGATCGACCATGACCACTCAACACGCGCGCCGTCATGGGGGCGTCCGGTGCTTAAATGCAATGCGCGGGACGGGTGTAAGGCAAGGAAGGTAAGGTCAGAGTGGCGCTGGCTGTAGACAGAGGGCAGGCCGGCTGGAGCGGAGTCGCCGTTCGATAAGCCGCAAAGATACAGTCACCCTCAAGACGACGGCCAGTGGCTGTGGCATCCATCCTCACCGCTCGCACCAGAGAATACGCATACATACGCGCCGCCCGCCTCGCCTCCTCTTTTGCCCCCGACGCCCCTCCGCCGCGACGCCTGCCCAGCTCCCAGCTCCCAGCTCCCAGCCTGCGCAGTTGTGTGGCACAGCAGCAAGCAGCGTCAACACCAGGCCTACCAAGGAAGACGCCTTGCTGCGCTGCGTAAGTAGTGGTGCTGAACCGCGCGTAATCATGAGACGTCAGGTGCCCAGCTGTAGTTCCAATACGCCCCATTGCCTCGTATGCATCGCTTAGACGCCGCGACTTGGCCTGATGCCGATGCTCCCATCCGACTCGCCATCAACCCCATCACCCTCGGACATGAACCCTTCCGCAGCGTGCAGGGTGCTGAGAACCGGATTCATCAGCTCTGTGTGTTATCTCTGCGGCGCATCATGTCGACTTACCCCGCCATTCCTACCCAAGGCTGACCCTGTCCAAGCCACCCTCCCTCTCAAACTCCTCTAGTATACCACACTATGCCTCCCACCGGCATCCTCAACAAAGCCCGTCCCCACGCGGAGAGGGGCTCCCACTTCTTGCTTGCCGAGCACACGGCACACCGAGTCAAGCCTGTCCGGTCCACTACGTACTCTACCCCCAGCCGACACAGACAGACCAGGTTGCAATCGCCCTCACGTGCGCGCCATCAATCCACCGTCTGCATCCTGAAACACGCTTCTCGATACCCCACACTGCCTCTTGTCCGACAGTGCGCACCCAATCAATATCACGCCTCTTAACCACTGCCACTGCGGCAGAGAACCACTTCTGACGCGTCTGCACCAGCACCAGCACCAGCACCAGCACCCGGTGAGACAGTACCCCGCAGCACATGTTTACCGAAGCCGAACACATTTGTTGCTACGCCAACTATTGCTTCTGCACACGATGAGGCTCTCTGCCCGCTGGTCTAGACTTGAGCAAGTTTCTCTTTGATTAACCCCCCACGGCCCATGTACTGAAGTAGATATGGCTGTGTCTTGCTGCGGACATTAGAAGGCCTGAAACTCCGCAACGACATGTGCTAGCTCCTCTGCAGCTAACGAGCTGTCTGTAGACTGAAGTAGTGCAGGTAAGTAGGTGTAGTGTGAGTATAGACTCTGAAGCTGAAATGGCGCTTCCCTTAGTATGAAAACACTGTACCGGCTCAGCGGCAGCTTGTAGATCGTTGCGGCCTCTAGTTCGCGTTGGGGATTGGGATTCTGAAAACTGGTTATCTGTGGCTTTCATACCTTGCGACTAACACGTGACGTTATTCGCAAGTATTTCGCGACCATTTGCTTGCGCAATGATGGGGCGTTCTGAAGCAACCATGATCTGTGCCAGGGAACACCATGGAAAAACAGGGTCCCAATGACGACATCAACGCAAATGTGAAAATCCCGGTGCTGTTGAGTTTGAACGTGTGCAGAACGCATCACGATGATTGCTGCAGTGGGCCAGTGTAGGTAGATACAAGGATCAGGACATCGTTCTGACCGGATGACGCCATAATGACTAGCGAAACACGATGCATCTTTTTTGGAACACCCATCGCCTTAGCATACTCTGTCAACGAACTCTAATCTCGTGCTGAGCTGAACAACATACTCAGAGCGCCTCCACGAGCTGCGTCGAAACTCTTGTTATAATAATAGCATCAACGCATGTGCTGACCCCGCTGCGCATGTCGGGGCTGGACAAATGTGGCCATGCCTGCAGTACAATCTAGCATTGATTAAACCACTGCTCAACCGATTTTGCAAAATTTTAGCCTTGAACCCATGCTGCATCGTTCGCTTGTGAAAGAAAAAGCAATGTTACCAATGTGGATGAACGCTCAAGCGAGGCCCTACATTTCTCCGATCGACAAGCAGTGTCTGTTTTTTTCTTTCACGGACAAGGGGCTCCTACGCTAGTGGTAAATGAAGTCTCGTTGCTAGGCGGCTGACTAAGGCCTCCCTGACGTCGAGCACGGGTCGCAGGGAACACCAAAAACATCCTATCCCAAAACCTGCGCTACCCACCACACGCGTCTCATGGAGTTGTAGCCCAAAACCCATTCCGACCGCAACCATCACTTTCTGTCCCCAAGTGATCGCGACCATGTCGACTAACAAGAGGGGCAACATCTTCGGCCAGGGTAAGCCTGAGCGCCCATACGAAGAGCGCGACGAACCCGCAGATGTTCCTCAGCGGGCAACAGCAGCCCAGCTTGCCGCACGAAAGTAAGATATTCATCTTCCAGCATGCATCTCACGACTCTACTATAAGTCTGTATCGCGATGATGCGCTTTGTATACGATAAGCTGACGCTTTTTTCAACAGAATCAAAACCGCGAAAGCCCGACGACCAGCAGCCGCCTCCTCCTCCGTGAGTATTTCGACATTCATTTCAAGCCTCCGTTCCCCGTTCATACCGCAGCGCAAGCATATCGGCAAAGCGCTTTAATCCCGCGAGACAGCGCGAAACACATAGCAGAAAGATGGCATTCGCTAATACACGCGCAAAGGGTCTATCACAGAGCGCAAACTTTGGCGCACCACAGCAGAATGGCTTCAACTTCGGCGCCTCAGCACCTGCTCCTGCAAACGGCGGCGCGAATGCATTTGGAGGCTTTGGAGGAAGCAATGCTTTCGGTGGCGCTAGCGCAACAAGCAGTTTTCCACCTGCACAGCCTGCCGCCCCAAGTACTACCTTTTCCAGCTCATTCTTTCCAGCATTTGGAGGCAGCAATTCAGGGACAGGCACAGGCTTCAATCCTCAGCCGCCTTCATCCGCGGGCTTCAACTTCACAGCAGGAGGTTCCAACCCATTTGCGACCGCGAACTCGGCACCTGCGACAAACGGCAGCACGCCTGCGCCCGCACCCGCGTTCGGAGGATCAATATTTGGCAACTCACAAGCACAGAGCAATCCCTTTGGTGGACTAGCACAGAGCAGCACATCAAGTGCAGCCCCATCAGCCAGTATTTTCGGTACATCGAGCGCCGCACCTTCTGGTGGCATGTTTGGTACTTCGAGCGCTGCACCTTCGGGCGGCCTGTTTGGCACCACCAGCGGCGCTGCAAACGCTCCAACAACCACCGCCCCAGCCTCAACACCATTTACCTTTGGCGCTACCAGCTCATCAGCTCAGAACACTACAAGTACGCCAGCAACGAGCGGCATTTTCAGTGGCTTCGGCAACTCTACGCAGACGGCGCCACCAGCACAGAATAGCATTTTCAGTGGTTTCGGCACGAATGCACAAAAGGAAGAAGCCCCTAAAGAGCTAGCTGCATCCCAGACTAGCATGTTTGGTGGCTTTGGTTCAAACGCGCAAACGACTGATAGTGCTACGGAGACACCTAAGCAAAATAACATCTTCGGGGGTCTAAACACTGGTGCACAGAGCACGCCGAGTGCTACTGCATCTGGATCAAGTCTGTTCAACTTTGGCGCACCAGCCCAGAAGACGGACGGAGCGACGCCCTCAGCACCATCTACTGGTTTATTCGGAGTTTCCACTTCGGCTACACCAAGTGCCAATGCCTCCACACCTGCGGATAACCCCTTTGCAACCCTTCCAACTGCAGCGGGCGTATCCACTCCATTCAAAGGGTTCGGAGCAACATCACAGACGCCTCAGGAGCAAGATAAGACTCCAGCCCCCGCAGCGAATCTGTTTGGTAATCTTAAAAGGCCAGAGGAGCCCAGTACCACTGCTGCACCAGAGACACCCAAGTCAAACCCATTTGCGTCGCTTGCAAAACCAGCTACACCTCCAGCTGCTGCACCAGCTGCCACTAGTTCTGGGTTTAGCTTATTTGGAACTGACAAAGATAAGGATTCAAGTTCGGCAACACTCAAGGCTCCTGAAGCGCCCAAATCGAGCCTATTCCAGCCTTTCAGCACCCCACAGCCGGCGAAGACAGCCGATGCGGAAAAGTCACAAGGTGGACTGTTCAGCGCGGCTCAACCAAAGACAAGCTCCGGTTTGTTCTCTCAGACATTCCAACCCGAGGCCAACAAGTCGAGCAACCTGTTCAGCAAGCCTCAGTCCAGCTTCCCGTCTTTCACCCCGTCCGCAACTTCTTCAACAGAGGCACCAAAGGCACCTGCTGCGGCATCTCCTTCTGAAAAGTCTAATCCGTTTGCCTCCCTGTCAACCCCTTCAACAGATCGTCCAAATCTGTTCAGCGCTTCCAAGGAACCTGCGCAAGCTTCTCCTGCACCAGCCATGCCCAACCTTACAGGCAGCTCCACCTTGTCGAACGAATCACAGCAAACACCAGAGATACCCAAGGTTCCCAAGGTACACGTCCCTAAAGAATGGTCTGTACCAGGCGTTGTTCGCGCACAGAGCGGTGATAGTTTATTGAAGCAAATCACGGACTTGACTGCTCAACTTCAAGTTTTGAACGGAAAGTACCGACAGCAGATTAGTACTCTTCCTCCTACGGCAGACTGGTCGAGTGTGTCCCTTTGGCACTACCAACATTCCACCGACATCAAGAAGAAGATTGACAACGCGAAAAAGCAACGTGCAGCTAGCCGCGGTATCACTGGAACTGAATCCAGTCTGTCGACTAAGCGCAAGGCTGACGAAGATAACGTCGAAGCCCGTGATCCTTCTCCAATCAAGCGATCTCGTCCAGCCGAGACACCTGCAAGCCCAACACCTCAACCATCTGCTTCTACTCCAAAGCTGAACCCGCCAGCAACAGCAACATCGAACATGTTTGCCAAGGCAATCGGCAACAAGCCTTCCACACCTTCCACACCTTCCACTCCCTCTACGTCATCAACAAATCTGTTTGCTCCAAAGACGGCTGAGAAGTCCAGTGAAGAACCTGCCAAAGCAAACGCACCAGCTACTGGCTTTGGCTTCACCCCTTCACTACCAGCCACCAATGGTACAAGCAGCTCATCCACTTCGTCCGGATTCAAGCCTACGTTCGGCGGCACGCCCAGCAGCGCTTCCGGCTCGACAGGGTTCAAGCCCAATTTTGGCAGTGCTCCGGGAGGTGCTGGCCTTATGGCGCAATTTACCAAGACGGCGAAGACTTATGAGGAGCTTGCTGCCGAGCGCAAGAAGAAGGCTATGGAAGAGGATTACGATTCTGATGAGGAAACTGAAGACCAATGGTCTGCCAGGTATGACAAAGCTGAAGAAGAACGTCGTGCTGAAGAGAAGAAGAAGGCTGCTGCCACTCCCACATTCACATTTGGTGCCTCGGCTAAGCCAGACGCACAGCCATCAGGCAGCACCCCGAAATCTAATTCTTTCTCTGGCCTGCTGAAGCCCACAAGCGGTGCATCTACGCCCGGGGGTTTCACTCCCAAGGATGTTAGCCCTGCTCCATCTACAGGTAGCCAGTCTGTCTTCAATGCCCCGGCCGCCTCTCCAGCTCCGTCTTCCAACATCTTCAGCCATCTTTCTTCGGGCCCTTCCTCAAATAACCAGGATGAGTCCGACGAAGATGACGGCGAGCAACAAGAGATTGCTGGGTCTGTAGAGCCGGCCACCCCGAGAGGCAATTTCGGAGAATCTGAGGCGGAGTCGGAAGGGACGCAGGAGCAAAAGAAGCCAAATACTAGTTCCAAGGGAAGCCTTCTTTCCAGGATCACCCGCGACAACGACTCCGAGTCTGAGAAGGAGAACAACGGCATTTCCTCTACGGCGGTGACCAACGGAACTACTACGCCTACCAATAAGCCCTTCCAATTCTTTGACTTTAACGCAGCATCTAAGACCGCACCGCCCAAGTCGGACACATTTGCAGGCGATCAAACTTTCAAGTTTGGTAGCCCTATCAAGTTTGGACAAGCTCCCGCTACGGAGAAGAAGGATGCACCCAAGTTCCAGTTCCAGCCTGCTACGCCGTCGCCAGGTGAAGGTTCAACAACGCCGGCGAAGCCACCGCCTGCTTCCATTTTCAACTTTGCCTCGTCAACTGGTGGCTCATCACTCTTTGCCCCATCCGGCGGCAACTCCATCGGCTCTTCAGTCTTCTCTTCACGCGCCGGCACGCCCCTGTCTGAAGCTGGCGAGACTAGTGCAGCCTCGGCCGCAGAGGACGAAGAAGGTGAAAAGCATGAACAAATCGACCTCTCCCAACTCACCGAAGAAGAGCTCAACACCTACGACATTGTCTTCCACACTGACGTCGTCCTTGCCAAGCAACAGGTAGACAAAGATGGAGAGAAAGCTTGGGTTAATCTTGCCAAGGGCCCGCTTTGGATTCTCAAGGACAAGGAGACTGCTAAGTGCTCTGTCCGCGTCCGCATCCCAAGTGGTGCTACGCCTCTGAACTACCAGATCCTGCCTTCACTCCCAGCTACTGTCACTGGCTCTAGCAAAAAGATGGTCATGGCGACGAAGCCCGCAAAGGAAGGTGGACTGCAGTCGATCATCTTTGCTGTCAAGTCTCCTGAGATTGCAGTAGAGATGGCTGCAAAGTACACCGAGTCAGTTCCTTCCCCTTAAGCGACATAATTTCACTTCAACCCTACTGCACATCTTGCATGTGTCGGTCGGACTCTTGAGCCTATCTAGGCTTTTTTTTTCACATTACCCTTTCAATGCTGAACCAACAGGTTACGTTTTCACCCTTTCCATACGTATGCCCTTACCAAAATTGGCGCCCTTTCCCCAACATCCCAGCGAGTGATTTGTTTGAACGTTTTTTGTAGAGAAGGATTGCTGCGTTTACCCATCGGAATTAAGCATTGCATGACACGGCGTTTTTGTTTGCACCCCCTACCCCATAGTTTAGTTGATTTACGGATGAGAGGAGTGTTTAATGCGAAACAGCAATGATAAGGGCCCCATTGACTTAGTTGTCTTATGTAATATATCAAGTTCATCTTTTTCCTAAACCCATTTGCAGGCGTCCTGGATTGTATATTGGTTTGATAGTGCGTTGCGCTCTTGTTCGTTGTGACAGGTTTAGATATTCCATGTGTTTTTGAGCTTTATCAACGTCCTTGGTTGATTTCAGATATGAAGCGTTCGTGCAATACATTTGTTATTACAGTATGGATGGCAAATCGAAGACCCAAACTTAAGTCGTGTTAGTCTAAAAGATGAAAGCAAAGACAGCTATCTTAAAGCTGTAACCTAAGATGTTGTGTTTCTAGCTTCTCCTTTGTGGGTGTCGACGTCTCTCTACCCGTGCGCGCGTCATGGACCACTCGCGTGGACAGCGTTTCCCCAGCCTCCCACCTCTATCTCTAACAGCCTTGTCTACGCGCAATGCCGCCTTGAATGTGCGCAAACGCCGGCGCATTGAAATTGTTTGTGCGCAAATATTCCTAAGAAAGAAGAAAAGATCTTCTATATGATGGACGAGCCCTCGGCGCAACTACACCTGGAGATCCGCGACGCCGTTGTTCGCGCTCTTGCAACGCGCCGCCCAATCCTCCACCACCTCAATGCCGATACCTCCTGGCTCCTTCAAATACCCCGTCCGGCCAACGCAGTCAAACATGGCGCCCGCATATACTACAACATCCTGATCGATCCTTGGTTCGTGGGCGGGCAAAGCGATGTCGCAAAGTGGTTTAGCCAGCAATGGCACGCGACGGAGAGCGCGGTAAAGAGCATTTCCAAAGTGGAGGAACTAGCGCGGCAAGTCGAGATTCTCGCCGGAGGCTTCAGGCCAGGCAAGAGCCGGAAGCGAAAAGTAGAGGCAATAGAAGACGAAGAGAGTTATGTGGACTGCGTAGCCATCAGCCATGAATTCACCGATCACTGCCACAAAGAAACCCTCCTCGAAGTCCACGGCGACGTCCCCGTCTTCGCAACAGAGGTACGTACTTTCTCTCTATACGCCGTATGCAAAAAGCTAACAACTATCCCCTACCTAGCAAGCCGCCAAACTCATATCCTCTTGGTCCCACTTCCGCACCGTAGTCACAACCCCAACCTTCCCCTCCAACGCCGACTGGCACGACTACAGCCTCCCGCCCCTCCCCTCCTGGCTCTCCATCTCCCGCCTCACGGCCCCCAACGACGCCCTCTTCTACCACTCCGCCCTCCTCATAACCTTCTCCACGCACCCCTTCCTCTCCAGCTCCACCCCCAGAAAACGACTCTCAACACTCAGCATCAATGGCGACGGCGCCGAACAAGACTTTGCTTCTTCTCCTTCTTCTTCTGCCACCAGCGAAGCCGCCGAATGCGTCATCTACACGCCCCACGGCATCCCTCACACCGCCCTCGAACCCATTGCCACTGCGGAACCGGCGCTGCATACGCTAGCGTTTTTGCACGGGCTTCACGACGTTTCAATCTCTGCAGCCCAACAACTTAACTTGGGTGCGAAAAACGGGGTTCTGGCGCAAAGGCTGGTCAAGGCCAAGTATTGGGTTGGCACGCATGATGAGGTTAAGAAGGGGGGAGGGTTTGTGAGTTGGTTTTTACGCAGGAAAGTGTGGAGGGTTGAGGATGCGATTCGTGAGGTTGGTGGGGAGGGTGAGGTGGAGGATGTGCGGTTTAGGGAGGTGGGGAATGGGGAGAGTAGGGTGCTTGAATAGAGCTCGTCCCCCCCCCTTTTATTCTCTGTTATATTGGTAGATTTTATTTTATTTTCCCCCCAAAGTGTAGATATATATCCATATCCCCTTTTGTTGTCGAATCTCTATTCTCTCTCTTTATGGGGGCTATGTGGATAGGTTAGATGTGTAGCCCATACACCCAATATCCCTCCCTCCATCCTCCATTCAACCACACCTTCTCACTCTCCCTCCACCCCACTCGTTCAAATCCTAACTTCTGTATCAGAGCTAGACTCCCTGCGTTCTCGTCATCTACCGCCGCCTCCACGTAACCCCTCCCTTTCCCTCCACTCTGCTGTCCTACAGCTGCAGAGTAGGCATTGAGTAAGCCGCGATTCGCCTCAGTGCCGTAACCCCTCCCCCACGCTGCAGGGAAGAACGCGTAGCCTAGAGCGCGCAGGTGGAAGTCTTGTTCTTCTTCGGCTTCGTTCTGGTCTTCTGGATCGGGGGAGCCAGTGTGGCGGGGAGGGGGAGGAGGAGGAGGGAGGGTGGGACCGGAGGGTTGGAGGCGCAGGCTTACGCTCCCGATGTGGACTCCTAGTTCCTCCTCCTCCTCCTTCTCTTCCTTTCCTTCTGTTTTTGTGCCGGAGTTTTCATCTAGAACGTCCCGCATCGTCCAGATCTTCTCGCCATTGTCTGGATGCTGTGGTGTACGCGCGAAGACGGCGTAGAAGTAGCTGTCGAATCGGTCTAGTGATTCGATCATCCACTCGCGGCTTTCTTCTAGCGATTTTGTGGCGCCGCGAAGGGACCATGCTGTTGCGGTGAGGTTGGACCAGTTTTCATGGAAGAGCTGGACATGGGGGTGGGATGGGTGCGTGTTTGTGAGATGGAGGAGGGTTAGGCGCTCTGTGGAGATTTTGGAAGGGATCATGGTCGGTTTGGGGGTTAGGGGTTTGATGAAAGTGTCGAGAGATTGTTGGGATGCTGAAGAAGGGATTGTTTTGGAAGTAGTAAAGTAAGTGTTAAGGGAGTTATTTATATGGTATGAGTCAAGATTTGGAACATTGAAATCTTTTTTTTCTCTTTGTTGTCATCGTTATGAAACTGAGGAAGGCTAGTTTGAAGAGTATATTTTATCATCGGTTTGAAACTAAGTCGTGATTGTCATTGCGAGATAGGTGTAAATGAGATAGCAGCATTATGTCACTGCGTTTTCTCCAAGACTCCTCGAAGACATCTTGTCATGTTGTTGCTTTATTTCTTTGAAATCCATCAATTGTCTCAAAAAAAGAGTTCATAAAGAAAAATGCGAACTATTCATAATCACACACTATTCCTCCCAGGTTGATGACTCACTACGCTACAACCTCAGTCATCAAGTCCTTTGGCCACCTCGGCTGATCCACCCCATTTCCTCTTGCCCCTACATTGAATCCCAACTTCACTTTGTCCTGCTTCCACTGAGCAATAGGTTTGACAACCTTGATATCCTTTCCAATTGCATCTGAATGCCGTACTTCAAAAAAGTCTGGGTTGAAGAGTATAGTGCCCGAATTGGCCTGAATCATCTTCATATAATGTATCAGCGTATACTGAATGTTGTGATAGTGCCGGAAAACCTGGCGTCCATTCCGCGTCCAGACATCTTCCCAGACATCTTTCGGGTACGTGCCGACGCTGTTGACAAGCCATTGGGAGTAGTAATTCAATGCGACCTGTTTAACCATCAGTCTCATAAAATTATGCATAGTAGGAACGAAGAAAAAAACTTACATCCACTTGATACGACCCACCCTCAGCACCTCGCTTCAACACCGCATTCAGCACAGCAATCACGCCCGCAACACCAGTGCAAAAATCGCTATTGGGGAAAATCGGCGTAACAGGCTCATCATTCCCCATCGCGCGCCCAAACTCCATCGAAACACCACAGCACGCATCAGAAACTTGCTGCCACCCGCTCCGATACGCCCAGGGCCCATACCATCCATAGCAATTCTCCCGCACAACAATCAATCCTCTCTCCCGCTCCTTCGTCAACTCAAGCAACCCCTCAACCGAGAACCCGTACTTATCCAGGACACCGGGCCGATATCCCTGGACCACGACATCCGCTTCACGCACCAGCGCACGCAACTTCTCGCGATCTGCTTCGCGTCGGAAATCGAGGTGCGAATTCCACTTCCCCCAATTCAGACTAACGTGCAACGTCGAGATATCTGCTAGATGCTCAGCTGTAACCCGCATGACGGACGCACCAAGCTCAGCCAGACCGCTCGTAAGAACCGGTGCAGCGATAATCCGCGTCAGGTCGACTACTTTGAGCCCGGCCAGCGGGCGGTTCGGACTCGTTTCCGGGCTATCTGGCCACCAGCAGGGCGGCTGCTTTGCATTCTTTACGCTGTGAATTTCGAAAAGGCCGACGTGCGCGTTTGCTTTGCCGTGCTCGCTGTTTTTGAATTCCTCGGTGGTCCAGCATATGGTGCCTGCTTGCTTGGAGACGTCGGATGCGAGGCGCTGCATCTCGTGCGAGTCTATCTGTGCTACTTTTTCGACGTACGGCGTCCATGGTGCGTCGAGTGCTGCGACGTCTATGTCGTGCGGGAGACCGAGATAGTCTTGTGTGTGATCTGGGTTCATGGAGCCGTGCGTGTGGAAGTAGCGGCCATCCTTGCATCGATAGATGTTTGTGGCTGAAGTACGGTATGCATTTCGCAGCATGTCGTGTCTGTCGCAGTCTTTGAAGTACTTGTCGTATGCGGCGTTGCTTTTTGATAGGGGTTTGCTGATGAAGTTTATGTTTTCGCCTTCGGGATCGATGGCTGCGAGGAAGCCGGACATGAAGAAGAGTTGGGCGTGGTCGCTTTAGGGAGTTCAGTGGTGGTATGAATGGATGGCTCTCACAAGACTCACGTGTCTATCTCGACTTCTTGAGGCTCGAGATTGTATTTTCTCCTTAGCAGGACGTTTACCATGGCGGCTTCTAGGCCTTTCAAGGCAGAGATACTTTCGGCGAAACGCCAGTTGATGGCTAAACTAGGCGCATCGTTGCCCTTGAATTTGATTGGCTTTGCGCATTCTTCAATTTCTTGAGGGAGGTTGGGAGCAATGAGTGGATTCTTCAAGACTCCGTTGTCGAGTAGGCTTCGTGCTTCACGTGGGATCGAGTAAGTGGATGAAGTATCGTTGGTGACGCCATTGGTGTGTCCGTTTGTCGCCATGACGTTGTTTTGTTAATATGGAATGGGAGGCAACGGTGGTAGTGGTGGCGAGGGGGAGGGAGGAGAGAGGAGGGTTCAGCGTTTTAGTATAAATACCCAACAATGACCATTCGTAGGTGAATGTTGTACGTTGGTTTTCCGCACCTTGAGTATTGCCCCGTCGGCAAAATGGAGAGCCCCCACCTACAAGATGTTGTACCCTCCGTCATAGCTAGTAGGACGATACTACAGGATAAGCATCAAGGTACACATTTGATAGCGATCTTAGGACTCATGAAAAAGTTGTTCGATATAAAATTAATGCACCCAGCTTAGTTACACTACGTGATGATTTGAACGTTGATAACACCTTTATGGTGGTGTAGTTGTTCATGCTGCATAAGGCTACTCTTGGTCAAACACCAAGAGTCTCCAGTTTTGTCGATTAATCGAGATATTCCATCTAACTGAATGCTGCCCGCTGATCGAAGTATCCACCAGCATTCCGGGTGCTCAATCTGGCAATTGAAGTTTTTGGCGGGTTACCTTGTCCTACGGGTGCCTTGGTCAACCGATGTGGGGCACCATACCGTATCTTATGTACTTCGTCGGCCCTTGTATAAGAACGTTCAATCGACCTCAGGCGCGAGGAAAGTTACTATATTGGAGACGTGACGGCTGTGTATGCCCAGGTATGTGTAGTCTCTGATGGAAATTTATTTGGAAGTTAATGTTGGAACCAAGATTTTGACAAAGTTGTAGTAGGATACACATCAAGGTAGGCACATCAACGCAGAGCCTGTCCAATAAGCCTGGAAAGTTGTATTCGCTACAAAAATAATGGTGAATGGTTTGTATGGACGTGTATATGTCGTAGCGTACGCTTACTTCGCAAGAGACAGGTTAGTATATCATAGAGTGAACGACCGATCTTTTACTCAAAGGCTCAAGATTATAATCAACGGTAGCGCGTGTAGCTCTTCAGAGTTGGAGGGAAAACTGAAGAGCATATAAGCGATTAGTTTCCAACATATCGGCCTTTGCTTCATGGAATGCTGACAGCTTTCACGTATAGTACTGGGAAGACTGTGACTCAAGATTGGTATATGCCCAAAGCTGTAATTTACTGAAAGAGATGCCTGATACAGGTGAAAAAGGACCACAGTCCCTCCCCAGTTCCAAAAGCAGTGAATCGACACACGCCAGCCTTTTACTCAGTCTCAAAACACATCTGCCTATCGTTAGCGCCCGTGTATCTTGGCACTGCAGACAACTCCAATCACACCCCTAAGCGCCTGTAAATTGCATGTTTCGGCCTTATGTCCGCCATATCCTCATGAAAGAATATTGGCTCTAGCCTGATATATTTATCGCCCCGATAACGCTCCAAGCCGTCTTCGCCCCCAAAGTTTGCGTTCCTGGTAAGGATTCAAGTCACGCGGGGAGCTGGCAAGGGGTGGGAACTCACAACCCGAATCGTCAACCTCTGCATAATTTGGATCAGCCTGCCCGCGATTCATACGTCCTGCAATCTAGCGTCGCCAAACATGCTCACAGCCTTCATAGTGGTGTGAGTGATACAAGGCTACATGTATATTGTGCAACCGTAAGATGTATCCAGTCATCTTGTAGTAGCATCATAATCGTGAGGTTTGCCAGCCGCGTCAATGCCATCTTCACCCTTCAACTCGCTTAGCCCTGTGTCCTCAAAGAAGGGGGTTTGTCTACTTTCCAGCTTTGCTCCTTCATAATGCAGCCCCGCACGGCCCGTCACCATGCCGCGCGAATCATGCCCCTACTCGCAAGCAACCACGATGATACCAAGACATGTAGAAGCGCCGCGTCCATGGCAATTCGGCGACGAGGCTGGAAGGCAGCAATCTGTATGAAATCTCGCGCCGCCCTCGGGTCCAGCAACGACTGGATCCTAATGCTTTTTTTTTACCAGTAATTTGTTTCCGACGCCGAAGCAGCAATTGCATGAGCATCAAATTTCTTCATTATGGCTCCGTATCTTCCCACAAGGCTGCTTTGCCAGACCAACGGGCAGTTTTCCGTCGTCAATTCCAGTGACGTGTATATTGAAAGCTTCGACATCATATCGTATACCTGGGGTGAACTGGAGAAAAAAGAATGGGATTGCGGTATAACAGGCGTGGACTGGGTACTAAAGATAGCGAAAAAAAAAATGGAGGACATCAAGAGGCTGATGATAACGGGAAATATTCAATACCTTTGGGCAGACTGCGTATGCATCAAGCAGACTTCACCTGCAGACCAGGCTATCGAGTTGTCCCGGATGTTTGAGTATTACAAGAGCG